AAGTGCTGATGAGTAGAGGTGTTACAAGACAGTTTCTAACAAAGACAAGAAGAAGGAGATGAAATAAGGATGACAGATGTTTCACAATAAAGAAAGAATAAACCACAACAGAGTACCCGCCCATCACCCAAATACAAAGAGGAAAAAAAATCAAGAAACACTTGTTACGGAATACATGATATATGTATATTTGCCTCACTGTAAAATAGAGTTCACATCTCAAAAAACTCATTTTTGTAGAAAACCCGACAGCAGATTTTTTCCATATATATATTGCTCGCTATCAAACAAGGGCAACCAAAGAACCATGAGAAATACCTGTATGCGTACATGTACATGTGCAAGTCTATTCTCAGAACAAATCTAGCGAAACAATTGCCTCATGGAAAACTGAATGGTCACAGACTCTTTTCTATATTAAAAAAAAAGTTTTAAAAAAAACAGCAAAAAAAAATGGACAGCATTTACAATGCTGGATAATTAATAATAATACTATTAATCTACTTCAGCCAAACCATAACCAACTGGAAACTTCTACGCATTCTATATTATATTATTCAAATTCAAGAGAGTCAGATACCAACAATAAATCGCCGTAACATGAGGCTGTCAAATCTATAGTAAGAGACAGGGGAAGAAAGAGCTTTCACAGGTCAAAACATAACATTAACAAACAAATAGAGAACCTTTTAGCTTTTAAGACAACACAATTGTTTTCACAACCACAAATCCAGAAGGCTTTTGGAAGAACTATCAGCGGCCATAATGATGAGCTGGAGTGAGTTGTTTATAGGGAACCAGAACAGTAACTGGTGTATATCTTATCACAAATAGAAGAGTGAGTGAGAGAGAGAGAAAGAAAGAGAGAGAAAAAGAAAGAAAGAGATGAGGGAGAGAGTGAGAGAGAGAGAGAGAGAGAGAGAGAGAGAGAAAGACACGCGACAGTGAAAAACATTTGAAGAATACGTGTGTGTGCGTGTGAGTGGGGGGTTGGGGGCGAGGTGAGGATGAATGCCCCCCACCCCCGTGGTGTATGTATCTGTGTGTATATGTGCTTGGAGGGGGGAAGGGGGTATGTATTGATTGATTCTATTCTAGGATATGAGCGAGAGTGTGAGTCTACTCGTGGGTGTAGACACCTGTTTGGCAGCTCGGTTGAGGGTTAAAATGTCTGTACATTGCTGTCTTTTTTAAATGTAGGTGTTTTGCGCCACCATCGACATAAATTAGACCATTTAGGACGCGGGCTTCCAACCCTGTCTGTCAGAGCCAGCCCGGGATGAGAGGGATACATGTATCAATGCACACTCATCCCAGCAGAAACACTGAAACAGTAAACACACACCAAGATACTCAATAAAAATTCTCCCCACTCCGGAATCGAACTCGGGTCTCCTGCGTGTGGCAGCGAAAGTCCTAGACGCTACACCACAGACGACAGTGTATGTGTGGGTGAAACCGCACGACAATACACATCTGTTCGCGTTTTCCAAGTGAGTTGCTCTAGGTCTGTTTTGTTATAGTAAGGTTTTTTTAGGGGTTTTTTTTAAAGTAGGTTTTACGGCGCTCGCAACTGCACACGGGTCATATGAGCGCCAAGGGGTGGATGTCAACAGAGAAGTCCAAACGGGGAATCAGGCTTACTCAGCACACCTCTCTAGCTTCAACAGCACAAAGTCTGTTTCGACTATCAAGGCACCCCGGAAATAGCAGTTCACAAGAGAGTGACAAACATGCAAAAGAAGTAGAGGGAAAATGACGATAGTAAGGATGAGGAAAGAAAAAGCAGCAGTACCCCCTATGTTGTTCCGGCACAGTGTGAGCATGACCTTGATAAATCAGCCCATTTACAATTCTACTTTGCATAAGAACATGGTAATACCCCCATTTTCGGAATGGCCTAAAGGCAACTTCAGTCAGTAGCATTGGAGGGGGGGGGGGGGGTCGACGAAGTAGTTTCAGTAAGAGCTCTACAGTACTTGCAACACAACATATCATATAAGTGCTGATGAGTAGAGGTGTTACAAGACAGTTTCTAACAAAGACAAGAAGAAGGAGATGAAATAAGGATGACAGATGTTTCACAATAAAGAAAGAATAAACCACAACAGAGTACCCGCCCATCACCCAAATACAAAGAGGAAAAAAAATCAAGAAACACTTGTTACGGAATACATGATATATGTATATTTGCCTCACTGTAAAATAGAGTTCACATCTCAAAAAACTCATTTTTGTAGAAAACCCGACAGCAGATTTTTTCCATATATATATTGCTCGCTATCAAACAAGGGCAACCAAAGAACCATGAGAAATACCTGTATGCGTACATGTACATGTGCAAGTCTATTCTCAGAACAAATCTAGCGAAACAATTGCCTCATGGAAAACTGAATGGTCACAGACTCTTTTCTATATTAAAAAAAAAATTAATTGAAAAAAAAAAAGCAAAAAAAAATGGACAGCATTTACAATGCTGGATAATTAATAATAATACTATTAATCTACTTCAGCCAAACCATAACCAACTGGAAACTTCTACGCATTCTATATTATATTATTCAAATTCAAGAGAGTCAGATACCAACAATAAATCGCCGTAACATGAGGCTGTCAAATCTATAGTAAGAGACAGGGGAAGAAAGAGCTTTCACAGGTCAAAACATAACATTAACAAACAAATAGAGAACCTTTTAGCTTTTAAGACAACACAATTGTTTTCACAACCACAAATCCAGAAGGCTTTTGGAAGAACTATCAGCGGCCATAATGATGAGCTGGAGTGAGTTGTTTATAGGGAACCAGAACAGTAACTGGTGTATATCTTATCACAAATAGAAGAGTGAGTGAGAGAGAGAGAAAGAAAGAGAGAGAAAAAGAAAGAAAGAGAGAGAGAGAGAGTGAGAGAGAGAGAGAGAGAGAGAGAGAGAGAGAGAGAGAGAGAGAGAGAGAGAGAGAGAGAGAGAGGGGGGGGAGGGAGGGAGGGAGGGATGGAGGGAGGAAGGGAGAGAGAGAGAGAGAGACAGACAGACAAATGGAGAGAAAGAGAGAGAAAGAGAGGAAGAGAGAGGGATAGATAAAAAAGACAAAGATAGAGAGAGACAGAGCCAAATTTAAAAAAGAAGAGACAGATCCATCAACTTTGGAATGAACACACAAGGCTCCCACAAACAGCCATCAGTTCTACATTCCTTCATGTTGAACACAAAGAAATTTGCACCAATACGCCCTGATAGTAATTGGATCTATTGGTATGTCTGCGTATATATATATATATATATATATATATATATAAAAATATATATATATATATATATATATATATATAAGAAAAACTGCTCACATGTTCTACACAAAATAAAGCTGACAAATTATCCCCTACTACAACTACACATGTTTCTTCAAGCACAAAGATGGTGTATACTAGGAGAAGTCATGATGGACTTTCAGTTTCTGACAAACTTGTACCAATATTGGAAGACTCACAGAAAGGAATTGAACCCTGACCAACAGAACAAAAAACTCATAAATGCAAGCTGTAGCTTTCTTATAAATAAGTATACAAGCAACGGAATATAATACACCATAGCACAAGGCTTTCAAGAAAATAAAGCTCTATAATCATAAGTACAATCAAAGCAGAAGTGTCCTGGGCGATCAACAAACACTGAGTTTAAAATCATCAACCAAAAGAGAAAAAAAATCTAACATTCCTCGGGTAACAACAGGAGAACGCGAGGTTCTCCACGCACTGTATCGTTTTGTAATGTCCTCGGTACATTTGGAAGAATAAGGATACTGTTGTCAAAAAGCTACTCAGATATATATATGGTCGCTTTTAAGCACAAGGGGGCTATCCTGAAAAATACTGTTTCGAGAAAATCGAAGTTACAGTTTTCGGACTCTTGTTCAGTTTCTGTAAAAGACAAGGAGAATTTTCTCTATAACCAAACAAATATACACACTAATGAAACAAAACTTCTCCTATAGGTAGGGCAATGCCCACTTTTGGTGTAGGTCAAGATTTCTGGAAACCCCCGAAATCTGAATTAGCCAGCTTGTCCTCAAAAGCGACCATATAATAAACTAAAACTCAATATTAAAAGGCAAAAAAACCCCAACCTTATTGCAATTTCTTAATCTGTTGAGTCCATTGCATGTGCTCAAGAAATAATTTGTTGAAATTCAAATTTTTAATGTTGGAGCAAAAACAAATAATGTAAAAGAAATCAATCGATAAATTAATAACGTAATTACATTTTTTTAAAGAATGAAAGTTATTTTCTCTTTACTGAAACATTTTGTTTCTGGACTTAGAACAGTTGTACAGTTGTACAGTTTGCCAATGATGCACAGCAAAAATTTGCCAAACCACTCTCTCAAATCAATTTATTTTTAAAAATACAGAAAATACAGTGCAGTATAACTTTTATACTTTAATCACATACTTGTATAGATTTATAGAGTAAAATTTCATAAGTGCACATTTAAACTGGAATGTCACTGATGGACGCAATAGTTTCCTGCATAGGAGCTAAAAATACATCAACAGTCCTCGTGAAAAAAAAAAGTATCGTGGCTGATTCAGGAAGTAAGCACAACAATAGTCCATTCCCCCCCCCCCCCCCAAATACAACAACAATATTTCAATAAATCGTCATTACTTTGCGGTTTGTAAAAGTTTTCTCAAGAAACAGCCTATAATTCATAACATGCAAATTGCTTAAATTGGAATACATGTAAAATCACGAGGGACACGAGACGGTAGAATAAAGGTTGAGTGGCTTTTCTTTTCCTTCCTTTCAATCCACCTCACTTTTAATTAAATGACAGAACTGCCTAACTTTACCAATGCATTTTTTCTTCTGAAAGGAAAGGAAAAAAAAAAATAACTTTCAGATTTAAAACTGAAAAGCCCCAATTTAGACCAGAGCCAAGTTCAGGCCTGCAGCACCATGGCAAATACCCTCACAGGGGGGGAGTCACCGGCTTCTCAGACAGAAACTGACATAGATCGACAAGATACAACGGAGTCCACTTAAACTGAAATCTGCCAGAGCCAGACTGCCCGATTTTCATTGGTTTTGACAGGTTTTCGATTTAGATAGGCTGCTCAATAAAAATTTCTAAAAATCTAAAATTACCACTGTTTTCGATAAATTAGATTCGGTCTAAGCTGACTCCTCTGTAGTATATGACACAAACTGGCATTACTAGGCACGGCAATGCTTGACTGCTTCATATGATATTGGACGATATACGATACAATGTGATATGTGGGTCATGATACACGGAGATCGGCGCTAGCAACTGCGTACAAAAACATACTTGTTCACAGCTATTGAGACTGGAAGCAGCAGATTCTTGATAAATAGAAACAAAATGAAGATTGTACTTGTGATCAAAACATAAACTGCATTCGTGAACAGGCTTCTGAACCAGTTGAGTCCAGCATCAGTCCTAAAGAACATCACAGACCTGATCTCGAGTGTTTGGCAAGGGTTCTACTTAACATTTGCTTTATCTATAACAATCAACGTCGAAGAAGATAATCTTTCCAAGGTCAGAAAAACGATATTACAAACAAATAAATTTTCCAGATATTATACTCCCTTAGGAAAATATTGACCAGTGGGCTTTAGTTGTTTTTTTTTTTACTGTAGAGGGTTTTACAGCGCTCGCAACTGCATCAGGTCATATGAACGCCAGGGCTTTAGTTCTGAATAAAGTCTGATAGGTGAAACAACAGTAGAATCAGCTGTGAACATTAACTCTTTATCTCCGAGGGGGGAACCCACTAAGCCGGGGCCCTTCTTTAGTGCTAAATCAAAAAATGACAAAAACGTCATTAAATGGGTCATCAAATCGAAACTAGCAAACCTATTCTGAGAGTTCTTCATCTATTGCCGAAAAGTAATTTGATGTCGTAAAGGAATGTGCCCGAGCCGCTGTCAGTGGCTCACTGACACAGGGGTTCCGATCGTGAGCCGCTGGGAGCGCTTTGCCGAAGATAAAGAGTTAACATATTTCAAGACATCCATCCCCTTCACTAAATGAGAGATGAACAATAAAAACATGTAGCAGCAGTCAATTGAACTCAAACATCCCAGAAAATTGTCTGCACTAGAAAACCCCCCAAAATCCCCTGATTCCCCTCAGTCTGTGGTTTGAGCTGGCCAAAGACAGGCACAAAGGTCGAATGTCGTTTATGATGATCCACGGACAAATGTAAAGTCAGAGGCGAGGGTTGATGTCATTTGTGCCTGACAGCATCACCGGCTCTTCAGCAGACGAACAAACTCTGGGGGGGGGGAAAAAAACAGTTTATGGTGATGAGTTGAGAGATATGTGAGGTATCGTGGTGAAATCAGGCGCTCGTTAAAATAACAAAATCAGAGAAACAGGCAGTTTTCTGCCAGTTTAGACATTTTTATTGAATTCTCATTTTTTGGCTCCACCCCTTTTATGTTCATATATAAACCTATTTCCATGTGACTTTTACTGAAAAACGTTGATTAAAGGCATAAATTATGTCATTTTTCAGTTTTCAAGGATTCCTTAGCTATTGAAGTTACCAAACTTTGGCCGCCATTTTCTCTCTAATTTCAAAATTGAAACCAGGCTACTTCCCCTCTTCTTTTTTCATTGAAAGCAAAACAAATATAGAAGCTTTCAGAGAGTAGCAATGACTCGACATGCCCAAAAATTGACCAGTGCCTGATTCCACTGAGCCGTGGCACATATGAAAAGGTTTAATCAATGCAGAGATCTAAAAGAGAAGTCTAGATTTAACAAAACCCATTTGATAAGGCATCATTCATCAATTTGAAATATAGTCAAAGAAATAGCATTTTTTCAAAAAACAAAGGCCAACTCAAACAAGGTGAAAGGTAAGAACAAAAAAAAGGAAAATTTGAATTTCATCAAATCGGGAAAATTATAATACTGAGGTAAATTCTTACCCGTTAAAAAGAAAAGAAAATTAAAGAAAAATTAACTTACAGAAGTATCAATTCGACGTAAGAACAATTGTAAGACACTAATTTTAAAATTGTCCGCCCACAGGAAATGCCCCCAAAAGCCAAAGTTCCCTTTAGACCTTCAGTGCTACTGACTGAAGTGTCTTTAGGCCATTCCCAAAGGGGGGATATTAACATGTTCATATACACAGTAGAATTGTAAATGGGCTAATTTATCAATGTCATGTTCATACTGTGCCAGAACAACATAGGGGGAACTGCTGCTTTTTCTTTCCTCATCCTTACTATCGTCATTTTCCTCTACTTCTTTTGTATGTTTGTCACTCTCTTGTGAACTGTTATTTCCGGGGTGCCTTGATAGTCAAAGCAGATTTTGTGCTGTTGAGGCTAGAGAGGTGAGCAGAGTAAGCCTGATTCCAAATTTGGACTTCTTCGTTGACACACACCCTTTGGTGCTCATAATATGACCTTATTCAGTTGAAAGAGGCGTAAAACCTTACTAAAACTAAAACTAAAGACCTTTACCATGGCTGACTTCGGTACTGCACACAGATCAGGAAGTTACAGTAGCTTGGACGGGTGTCATCACCATAAGTATGGTACCACCGAACAAAGAGATCATAGCATAAAATAAAATAAATAACTAAATAAAAGACATTAATATAGCGCTCAACGCCTATTAGAATACACAAGCTCTGAGTGCTTTACAATACAATACAACAGTAACATAAAATGTTGTCTTCTGACCAAAACAAAATCACTCCGAATATTCATCTCATTAATTTAAAAACAGAAAAGATTTCAGCTGACATTTGAATGAATCAAAGGATTTGATCTCTCTTAAATTAAAATACTTGGCAGTTACCTTTAAACTGAATCCTGCCATTACTGTCAATGTCTAGCTCCTCCAACAAGCCATTGAAGTCTTCGTCCGACAGTCTGTCGCCCATGTTGGTCAGCAAATGCCGCAGTTCGGTTGCCATGACAAATCCACTCCCTTCTTTGTCCACAGTCTTGAAAGCTTCTTCTAGCTGACGAGAATAATCTTTTGTCGGGAGAGAGCCGTGGATCTGTTTGAATTTTTTAAGGTCGACTTGTCCACGAGCTGGAGAAAAGAAAAGAGAAGGCAAGATTTTAAAACTTCACTATCCAGTCACATGAGAAATGATCTATGCTTTACAAAACTCAAACACATTTATAGCAATAAAACTTAACCCTATCCGATCCGTACGCCCTGGGGCCATTTTGTACCCCCGGGGTTGTATTCTTCACATTTTAGAATATTTCTAGCACGAAGATCTCTTTGAAACTTGCAGTATTTCTTTAAAAAATCATTTTGACAGACTGCTATGCAAAGCGTACGGATTGCATTAACGAGTAAATTTCCTCTTTGAAAGTGGTGGCACAGTGTTCCCCATGTCGTATGGCTATGATAGTAAAACACGACGTACGGATAGGGTTAAGTGGTGGCACAGAGTTCCCCATGTCGTATGGATACGATAGTAAAACACGACGTACGGATAGGGCAGCAAAACTCAAACACATATATAGCAATAAAACTTAAACACATAGCAATAAAACATTTACATCACATTAACATATGCTCAGTTCTGGCTTAAACTCTTCATCTCCGAAGGGGGTAAACCCACTACGCCAGGGCCCTTTTTCGGAACTTAATCTAAAAATGACAAAAATGTCACTAAACGGGTCATTAAATCCAAACAAGCCAACGTATTTTGATAGTTTTTAATCTAATGAATGAACTCCTGGTAAAAGAGATGTGTTTTCTGCGATGGCTGAATAGTAATTTGACTTCGAAGTCATCGTAAAGAAATGTGCCTGAGCCACTGCCAGCAACTCACCGGCACAAAGGTTCCGACCGCGAGCCGCAGGAGATAAAGAGTTAAGATTTTTGGTAGACAAGTAGACAAATAATACAGAGAGTGCACACAGCCAATCAAATTCATTTCACTGAGTAAGGGCCAGCCACATTTTTCTCCATGAAGGGGCAAAAGCTACCATTTTGTCAAAATGTCACCGAATTCCACTACATTTGTTTGGAACCCTCAAAATCAAATATGTTTGTTTTTTCAAGACATGAGTCACATTGGTCATATTGTACCAAAATGGTAGCGTTTGCTCTTCCATTGTGGAAATTCTACAAGGCTCCTACTGGCAGAGGAAAATGGGTATAAGATAGACATTAACATAACACATATATTTTTTTTTTCACTACGTTATGTGCATGATCATTATATGTCAGTTTCATCACATGCGTGTTCAATATGTGTGCGTGCTAAACTGTATATATATACAACAAAAATTTTAGAAACTGCTTACACTCCACTCCAACTTTCTTGAGGATGGCCTTGATGTCTGCGTCGGTGAGGATGTGACCCAGGGCTCGGATGGCCGAGGCTGCCTCGCTGACCAAGAGCTGACCGTCCCCGTCACTGTCGAAGAGCTCAAAGGCTTCCGTGACTTGGTCTCTTTGGTGGTGAGCCTGATGAGATCATTCAGATTTTGTTTATTTATTTATAATGTAATAATGGAAGTGGGAAGACATGGAATAACATCAAAAGGCTAGCCCAGGATAGAGAAAGGTGGAAAGTGTTTGTTCGTGGCCTATGTGCGGGTGAAAGGCAATGATGATGATTATTTGAAATTTTAAAAATGCCCCGTTAGATATAAATGGTCAATCCCAAAGGCCAAGAATTGGGCCATGTTAGAGGAATAAAGTAAAAAGGAAAGAAAAAGATACAATTGACATTGGTTCATAAAAGTCAAAGTAAATATCTTTGGTGCATTTAACCATTAGTAGTTTTTTTGTCTTTATCTATTATCTATTTGTGGTGGCCGAATGTTGCTATTCAAAAGGCTTTTTAATGGCTGCATCGATCGACATGCGGTTTTCGCCAAAAGATTCT